AGTTAAAAACTTTCTTGTCGACGCAGTGGTATGATACTATTCAGTTATGTCGGTCAATATCTAAAAACCCACTCGTCGACACATTTATATGGTATTGTCCAGTTACGTGGGTCAAAATTTATGGTCCTATACACTTAAGTCAGTCAATATTCAAAAGCAGACCCCACACATTATTGTTCAAGAGTTATATGGATAAAGAAACCGAAATGATTACTTCTACCACAACTACAGAATTAATGAATTTTATTTGTCCAACAAGTAAGAGGATTAAGCAAGGTACAAAAGAGTCCTTTCACGTCTGTCTGTACAATAAGGCAGGCTAAAAATAATTTTTACTGATGATGTATTTTTCGTTATAAAACTAAGATTTAGAAGTTGTTCTTTAGAGCTAAGTAATATATACAAACTATCTGCAAATTAGTACGATATGAAGCTTTTTGTTGTTAATATTTTTCAACCTCGTGATGTTGTGTTATATAAATAAAGAGTATTTCATTCGTGTATGAGTAAAGGCTAACTCGAATAAAAGTATTATGATAAAATGTTAATGACATATAATATAATTATGTGAGAAAAAAAAACAACTTGCGTGTTATCTCTCCAATGACTTTAAATAACACTGTAGATACCTTATGCAGATAAAATAATAGAACGTTGTAATTTCAGTGACTTTATAATACCAAAGTAAAAATCAAGACACACGGTAGTATTTCGTGTGGCCAAAACAATATGCAGGATGTACTGTGTGTTATTAACAGGAGTGATAGTTTATCAGTTTTCCACTTTCTGTAGCTCGGACTGTGGTAGTCCAAACTATCACATATTTTCATCGGATGTGCCATACTGGACTATTACTTCGCATACCAAATTTCAAGGCAATTCGTTAAGGTATACAGGAGATTCAAAATCTTCAATTTTGATTGAATTTCTTACAGTATTTTTCTTCGTATCGAAAATTTGGTCGAAATATGAGCCACATGTGCAAAGTCATTCAATAAAAGCCGCTCAGGCCCGGCATGGCCAGGTGGTTAGGGCGCTCGACTCACAATCTGTGGGTCGCGGGTTCGAATCCCTGTCACACCAAACATCCTCGCCCTTTCAGCCGTAGGGGCGTTATTATGTGACATTCAATCCCACTATTCGTTGGTAAAAGAGTAACCCAAGAGTTGGCGGTGGGTGGTGATGACTAGCTGCCTTCCCTCTAGTCTTACACTGCTAAATTAGGGATGGCTAGCGTAGATAGCCCTCGTGTAGTTTTGCACCAAATTTTAAACAAACCAACAAAAAGCCGCTCAAATTTGACCAAAATTATTGCGCATGCCTACGCTAAAAGTCTCGTGAGCTATTGGTCTAAAATTTTAATAGAGTTTCACCTAAGAGTAAAGGTGGACCGTTTTTAGTTTTTGTCATTCGGTTTAAAGACGGCTGATTTAGAGCAACAAAACTCTATGGTGAAAGCAGTGCAGATGAATATATATTGGTTAGGCCAAGCAAACTAGATTAACAGTTCAAGTTTTCAAAAGAATCATACGGGTGGACGGTTATTATTCATTGCCAACTTTTAAGCACAAATTTACTAATTGTATGAAATTCATCTTATTAAAGAATGTTTAGCGTCACGTGATATTAACGTAAATAATGATGCTTGATACTGCTGTACCAAGAGTATGTGGGTGATAACAAGAAAATGTTAATCTAGTTGCCATGGCGCTACTATGAAGGAAGTTATTAATATTGTTTTAGGGAATAAAAATTTCCACCGTATACTTTAAAGAATCTGGTTGGTTCTGTAAGTTATAGGTCTCTTCCGAATAATAGGGTTATGATCCTAAAGCTAATGATGGTTACATTCTAGTGTCATTTTCTTACTTGCTGTAGTTTTGTTGGTGTGTATTGACAAAAAGTCATAATATTTATGGCTAACTAATGAATGAATATTTGCTGTAAAATTATTATTATTAATGCTATAAGTGTAGCTACCAGTTTGGCCGCCAATTGTGATTTCATTCCCTTAAGTCGCACATTCAATCCTTTTTTAGCCACATTTTTTTTTCACACCTAAGGTGTTTTTGATGAGATATATTATCCACGTAAAGTGTCTAAACAATGTAAGCAGAATGACTTCAAAAACTAAAGTAAAGATATATTATGTATATAAAATAATGGAACGTTGTAGCCTGAATGAATTCAAATGCTGTAGAATGGATATATTCTGTACAAATTAGTGGAACGTTTGTAACTCAGATAATTTAAAAACACCACAATAAAGATATATTCTACACAAAAAAGTGCTTGAATGTTGTAAGTTGATTGACTTTACACATTATTGTCTATACAAATATTCTGTATATAAAATGTCGCCATTAGAAGGACTCCCTGTACAAAAAATACACACTTCTTGTAGACAAAGCGATATTTTTTCGGTTAATTATGAAAACAAAAATTATTTTGTGTTTAACCAGATTTTGCACAAGTGACTCTGTATCTCCATATTCTAGCAGATTTGTTCATGAACAGCACTGTCACATTAGAGACTGAATTCAAATTCAAAAAACAAAATACTTGATCGAACTTAGATGTTTTGTTGTAGTTAGAAGTACATTTTAAGCCTCGTTTTATAGAACCCAATACAGATAATTTGTATAAAAAAAGTTTTGTTTTTATTAACAGACATTTACTTATTTCTGCAGACAATGAGTGAAGAAGGTAGTTTAAACAAATAATAAAAAAGAAAAAAAATCGTTCTAACAAGTAATAAACGTGCTGCCATCTGTCGAAAAAAAAACGAAGAAAAGATTTAATGACTATTTTTGGACAAGGAGAGGGGGAGTTCACGTATAATCCATCCTCATTTCTTGCACACTGAAAATTAGTAGATTTCATTATAGCATATTAATTTGTATATGCATATTCTACAGGGTTTCACCTTTCTAGAAACAAGGATAGAACATCCTAATCTATTTACTGGATAAACACTCGTAACCTGGTTACAAGGGTTAACCTTCCTAGAAATTATAGTACAGATTAGTAACTTGGCAACAAGGGTTCGCCTTTCTAGAAACAGGGATACAGATTAGTAACCTGGATAGGGGTTTTGCCTTTCTAAAAACAGATGTACAGATCAGTAACTTGGCTACGAGGGTTTAACCTTTTAGAAACTGTTATACAATTATATCGTTCTGCAGGTAATTAGGCTGCAAGGATTTGCCTTTCAAGAAATATTTCTGAAACAAAAGAATTTTTTTTTATCTTTGTAAAATGACAACATCAGAGCACGGTATGTGATTAAAAAAAAACTTTAAAGACGTTGATGTAAAATATCCAAGTACGTTACAGTAATGTAACATAAAGTATGTTGATGATTTCTCTAAGTGACAAGATCTTGGAGGTGTAACAAGCGTGTCCAATCAAAACGCTTCAACCAGTATTTGATCTATTTTCCCCTCAGATTGCTATCAACGAGGTTATATTATGTCGGCAGAGTTTTTACATCTCTTGACGAGGTTACATTCGGTCGTCAGAGGTTTTCTATTTGCTGACTAGGCTACATTTGCTCGGCAGAGTTTTTACATCTGTTGAACCGCAGAAATCTTGAACCTCGTTGGGCTTTTGTTTAAAATTCAGCCTTGTTTGAAGTTTCGAATTAATATCAGCAACAGGCTACTATAATGGATTTACCGAGTATTCAAGCTTGCGATGTATCACATTCAACTCGTTATATACAACAATAACACACATTTTTCACTAAATTGAACAATATTTTAATTTTCAACATTGGTTATTAAGTACATATTTTTAACACCAACCATTCATTTACAATAAACTTCCGACAACTATGACATATCTGTTTACTCGTTATTATTGTATTATTAATGAACATTTGACTTAAACAGTCGTATAACTCCAACTTATTGGAAAATATGATTTGAAACGAAAAAAATGTTTTGAAGTTTTTTACTTGACACTTCAAATCGCTTGATCTAAGATATCTTATAACATTATTACCTTAGACTCACAATACGCTATTACTTTACTATGATTAGCAATATTCAAACAGGGGACGTTACGTTTGAGATTCCCCTGTCTCTTGTGAATCTTATAGTAAATAACAGTTACGCTGATTTAAAAATTTGTAGATAAGACAACGTAATAACGGCGTCTGTTTACCTGTCACATCATTCTAAAACATCTTTACACACAACAAAAATATCAAAAGATAGCCAAGTGAAATAATAGGATCAAAACTACAATGTGGTAAGGGTTAAAATATACCTTTGTAACAGCGGTAGCTACGAATGTAGGACCCACACAGAAGTCAGGATACTTGTTTTTTTGTTTCGGATATTCGCTGTAAAGATACTCAAGGGCTTTCTGCGCTAGCCGATTATAATTCTTGATCGATAGGTTAGATGAAAAGTAGTTAAGTCAACAACACCCTCTGCAAACTCGTTAGCTACTCTTGCGTGACTAAAGAGTGGGATTGGATCGTCACTTTTATCATGCTATAACAGCCCCAAACTGCGGAGCATGTTTTTTATATTGTCATTTGTAACGGGAAACGAACGTTAGACCTGCAGATCCACAGTCCGGCACTCTATAATCACTGTTCAACCAAGTATGGATACGCTGTAGGGTTTAACCTCTATTCGTAAGCCTAGAATATAAACATTAAGAGCAGATACTGGTAACCCAAGGCTACGACATATATTTCTTTATATTATTATGATTCATTTAAAGCAACATATTTTGGATGCCGGAGAATGTGGACTTGAGTTCCCATATACCATTTTCTTAAAGTTTTTCTTCTTCTAACCTGTAAAGCTTGCAAATAAAAATTCAATCTGATAGATAGTGTATTTTATCCCTTCAGAAAACTGGCTATCTTAATAGGTTACGTTTTACCGTTGAGAGGGTAACAGTAAAATAATATTGAAAAAAGCAGCTTGGTAAGTAATAATGACATAGACAAAATGATCCGGAAACATTTTTCATTGACATGACGTTTCGGACAGAACAATACCAATTATTATAACTTGAGTTTCCACTTTTTCTTTAAACATGTATTCTAATATCAATGTATTATTTTGATATAACGGAATAGAACTTTCAGTTCATTCCTAGGGTTACCAAATTTCCAGAGTTAAAAACTACGATATCTTTAAGTTTTTCATACGGAGTTACACTGTAACCGCTCTGAAATAGACTAAATCAGAGTAACACGTCTGATAACCTTATTTAGTCCACTTTTTTTCGGCTTTAAAGCACCTGATAAAAGTCGTTTTTCCTGAAACAATGGGATAATAACAAGTGTTTTTCAGTTCATATCAATATTACATTGTTTCATATATTTTGCAGGTGCCATGTTGTAATCTGTGCTTGAGCTTTATTTGTATGTCTCACACGTGAGACGCTTTTATTTATTTACTTATTTTTTTGGCGTTGTTGTATGAAAAGTTTAAAATCGTGGTGTTCTGTACAAGACATACCGACGCTATAATACTCCAACCTTCAAAATGCTACCCACCCCAAGTGGCTCAGCGGTAAGTTAAAGGGCTTATAACGCTAGAAATTGGGTTTCGATACCCGTGGTGGACACAACACAGATAGTTCATTGTGTAACTTTGTGCTTAACAAGAAACAAATAAAATTAAAAATGTTAACGAAGTGTAATAGACACTCTTGATAACTACATAGAAAACGAGTCACATGGGGCAGTCTAATACCTAAGTCTGACTACTGAACACAAAACAATATTTGTGTGTAATGATCTAATCCACTTCGCATACTACTATAATAACACAACAGAACTTCGGGTTGATGACAAGAAAATAATGTCAAATGACAACAAATCCTACAGTGCCCAGTTTGGAACAAAAACAAATACATCATTTTCTGAAAAGCTCAAAACGGACGTCAATATATCATTTACTGTCTAATTCAAAATATGCGTCAATAAACGCTTGCTAACAGCTTTACAACATGCATTAAATAGATTATTTTCTGACAGATTCATAGCAGTCATTAATGGATCTAACACAAAAATATAACAAGAAAAAATGAAGTTAGTGGAACACTTCTAGTCTCATTTTTCAAAAAAAAAATTATAAAAAATTGATAATGTAAATAAGAATATTCCTTGGTGAATAACAGTGAGCTCTCCTGGTTTCCGAATGTTTTTTGAATATATTAATTGAACATAAAATTTTGGATTAATGTATATCACCTTATTACGGACAGTTGGCGCTAGCTGATAGGTTCTGTTGTCTGTTGTTAATATATCTGTGTTAGTATGTAACAAGTTAGGATTCTGAATATTATAATTTTGACGCATATTAATTTGACGTTGATAATAATATTAATTAACCAGGGAACTGTTGTTTGTCAAGTCTCGTGTTCTTATTTTTGTCATTTAACAAAAATTAGCTTAAAGTTATTGTTTAGTACGGCTCGCATTTTTATTTCTTGTATTTCATGGATGTCAGAATATTGTAATTATTGTTATTGAAGATGCTTTATGTTACTTATCTTGTAAGTTCACATAGATGTTTTATGTTGAGTTATTGTGTTATCCTTATCTATTTCTGAAGTGTGTGTGTGTCTCATCTTCGGGTTCTGAGGCACTTGGTCTGTATTCGTCTATTCATGTTATTGAGAAGGGTTTTGTTTCAAGTCTTTTAATACTTTTTTTCAATGTTACAGTTTGAACGATAGGTGTATTTTTCTCCTTATTCAGATTACATTAATGTTTCTGTGTTACGCGTGTTTTGTTTTTTTTTTTTTTTTAATCAAATTGACGCAAGATTGGTGTGTTGTGGTTCGTTTCTGTTGTGATGTTTTGCTCTTCAGGGAAGATCTGCTAGAAGTAGTAATTATATAAGGGGTACTTATTTTCGTAAATTAGTTTAGGATTGATGTGATTTTTACGTATCCTCTTTAGTGGGGTTCCAATATAAATAGTTAGTTACGAGGTGTTTATTTTCCAACATTAGATGAATTTAAGGTTGCTTTTTTGTTGTATTCTATTTAATGAGGTTCCAATAAAAAATAATGTAGTTATAAGGTTTTTCTTTCCCGAGGTTAATTACATTTAGGATTGATGTGTTGTAATACACTTTATTCAGTGGGATTAGCTATAAATAGTGATTATGGAATATTTCTTAAATTAAGTAGACTTAGGACTGGAATGTTGTGATGACTTCTGTTTTCATTTCTTTAAATCCTAACATCGGTGAAACGTCTTTACATTTTAAAAGACGCTGCTCTGACCTACTTCTTAATTACTTCAAGTGATATTAAATAAACTTACAGACTAGCCAGGTGATAGAGAGTTGACCTTATTCATAGACTTCAGTATTAAGTAAGTCATTCTACCTGATATTAAACAGAAGTAACGGATTTGAAACTCGTGTAGGGAAACAGTAAAGTGGATCAGTTACTTCGAGGGGTCTAAAACGAAATAAGGTTTACACAGCTTCATATGTATTAACACAGAACTATAGGTTTGTCGACATTTAGCAAATCTGAACTAAACTCTTATCCTGTGAATACACAGTTTACCTATAAAATTAATTAGTAAATACAAATTTAAGAAACGTCCAGTGAACAATGTGCATAACAAATACCTGATTGATGGCAGAGGAAAGTACAAACGTAAAATATATATAAAGTGAATGCTTAAAAAGGAGTAATAAATCTATATTTATATTCACTGCAGACGCTTAACCAAATCTTCCTACACTAACCTTCATCTTCTTATTACTGTGCGTGTGGAAAGTGTAACATAAAAATGAGCGACAAATTACGACTATTCTGAGCAATACACCAAACACCTAACAGTATAGCATCAGGTTTAACAAAGCCCGTCTTTACAGTTCAGTAAAGATGAGAAGAATGTAGGAGCAAGGAGCAAGGAAGAAGAGGAGAGTTCATCATTCCCCGTTGAAGACAGCTCACCGCAGGTCGCTGATATCATTTTTCGATCCAAACACATTAATAAGTTGTTCTTCGTATTGATCAATGTTTCGTTTTATGATATCCATACAGGGTCCGAGCAGCCTCTCGAAGGCTAGAACATCCAGAACTTGAAATATAAAGAAATATTGTTTAAATTTGTTTAAGTTTGTAAATATTTGAGATATTTATAGAACATTAACGTAACTTTTAAGATGTTATTGTTTTTATTACAACACACTAATTCATTTGAGACACCTTTAGCTTAAAATCTAATTACTCCGATAATCAGAATGTGATATTTGACAAATCTCAGGATACTTCACTTGAAACTCCTTTAGTAATTCTGAATCAAGTAAACATATTAAGCACTTGTAAAGCAAGTAAAACAACAAACTGTTATATTCCGCTAAAGCTCGGTTATTTCACTTTCTCTTCTAATCAGAAAATAGTATATAAAGAAAGATTACACCAATTCAAGGTATTGTAAGTTACAGATATACTCACAAGCTAATCGAACACTTCCTATTGCGAAAGCGGATGCTGCTCGAGGCTTGTGGGTAACAAGGGCAAGCTCTGGAAGAAACAATTTCACCAGTAAAATCTTTATAAATCTCGTTTACTTTCCTTTTTTCAAGTAATGTGACTATTATTTGTCGTTTATGACGTCCAAGCATTTCGATACAATGTATTTTTTCATATTGTATTAATATTTGATTATATGAGTTTTTTATTACTTTTTTCTGTCTTTCAGATTGAAACGTTAATGTCTCGTCTGTTACTTGTTGTAAGTAGCTTAGTGCAATGGTTCTCAAACTGAGGGGCGAGTATAGTACCCTAGGATGGTGTAAGGAGGATCATGAAAGAAGTAATACGTCTAGTTACCGTATACTTTTTTCTGCATTTGTAAGATAAGGCAAAGATTACTGCTGACGTATTTTGACACAACAAAAACCTCTATGTAGCGCTGTTTGAGTAAAGTTTTTTTTCTTTAGTTTGTACATTAATGGACAAGTCTTTTTTCACCTGGTGTTGTAAGTCATTTATCAAGCCCTGGATTGAATTTCTGTGTTCCTATAAGCAAACGTGCCTTTCTTACTCATACGTAATCAAAATCTAACATTTATGATTAGAATCACATAAACTACAAATGTGTTTCCTTTCCCACGTTCCTCTTCATTTATCCATTTCGTACTCCACATCAGAAGTATGTAAAATTTGCTCTATTCTTTGTCTTACACAAGTCAATATCCAAAGGCTATATTATTTTCAATATCAGAAGTTGTCATTTGGGCTAGACGACGAGAGACAAAAGTTTTCTACTTGTAAGTAGAAAATATAGATCTGTAATGATATTTGTTTTTTTTTACTCCTAACTTATTTACGCGATGTTTATCACAAATGGATTTTCAATGCTTTGCCAGCTTTCGGCGTTTAAACTTTAACCTTTAAAGTATTATACAACATATATAATTGCAGAAAAAAAACCTTTGTCGCAACCAGTTCCTTTTAATGTTACCATAGATAAAGTTTAAATGCAGCTCTCTAATAAGGTCAAATTTTGGGTTTCGTTTTTCATGAATACCACACAAATGTCAACTTATTTGGCAGAAAGTCGCTGAATGCCTTCAACTCATCTAGTGTTTGACAGGAACCCTCTAGAGATTAAATATTCCATTAAGTCTTTACACATTATAACGTCTTTGTTCTATTTTGTCTGATGTGTAGGTATACAGACTAGATCCTTACTCCCTCATTTTATTACAGTCAGTTACAGGCTTTTGGGTTACCATGTACTTCAATTAGCCTTTCATATTAAGTTACTTACTCCCAACAAGAATCTTTAGGCTTACATTCATTTCCTGCATATTCTTATACACTTATATACTGTAAGCGAAAAAATTCATTAACAATTTTTATTTCATGGTCATGGAATCTTTTGGACTTACTACATGGTAATATTCATTGCCCAAGAAAGACCATAGTGAATACTTTTTAAATTTATGCTTCACGTATCTTCCAGAAGGAGATCAACATCAAACTTACCACCATATTCTTCCTGAAACTGGCTACTTACACCTCGAAACTTTGATGGCTCCATTAAATATTCCTGTACACCCACTTTCTGCACTCTCCTTTCTTTCTTTGTCGTTTATTTCTCCTATCCAGTCATTATATATGCATTATCAAACTTCTCTCATGGTTGAAGAAAGAGTATAACCCTCTGATGGTTTATCAACCAACGGGTTGGAATGAAATGATGATTAATAAAATGTTTTGTCTTTCATAGTACAGCCTAGCTGATGAATTCTCGTATTAAAGGAAATACTTCCTGGGCAGTGCCTTAGCTCAAAGGTTAAGCCTCATGCTTTCCAATGCTTCAACAGCTTTTCGCGTTTAAGTTGTAACTTTTAGCCTTATACTTCATATATAAGGCTAACTTTTTGGATATAAAACTTTGTCGGTTATTGAGACAAAGCATAGTATTTATATTCTTTGCCGAGTCTCCTTTTGTTATATTATTTATTAATTCGGTTCATTTAGTATCTTTATACTGTTTGGGTGTTAAACACTACATTGTTTATGTTCTTGGATGCACTGCTTATCGGCTGCGATCGACCTTCAGAACATAGCGGACCTACAGAGTTTGTCACATAGTCGTACTCAACCTACACAACATTTCTGATCTAGTACAAACACCAAGAAGTCAAAATCATCTAGTATTTCTTCCTTATAGGTTGCTTTAGCAGATACTGGTTAACTTATAGTTTCTTCTTCCACCATCTTCCATTCATCAACCTATGGTGCATGAACATCTCAGCCTCCTGTTTATTCACCTATCCTGTCACTAACTGCCACTTCTAATACAACCCCCTCTTTCTTGAACAACTCCACGTTAAACCCTCAAACAACTTCAGCTCCGTTCGATATTAGCCCTTCCTCGCCAAATTATGAATTATTGTTGCCTTACACTGACTTAAAATTCTACACCTCATATGCTCTTTACTAGGAGTTTTCCAAATACTGATTTCAGCAGATATCCTTCAAATTATGCCTAATCGAAACAGCGTTTTCTTCAAGACTCACAAGCCTAATCATTACGACATCTTTACCCATAAAATCTAATCTAAATTCTTGCACAACAAGCAGTAAGCTAGACACCCTTGCTACTAAAATCCAGCCCTCCTGACATCGATGTCCTATGTTGTCATGCGTAATACTTGGTATGAATCCCTTCATTAGTGAAGAAGACATGCTATATCAACTACATGAAGACAAGATCATAGTTCTTCAAGTGATGATACGTATTCGAAACTAAAAGAGGTTCACTTATATTGTTCATATATTGGATAATAACAGAGATGTCATAGATCATCTTCTGTTTCAAGGAACTTCCATTTTCAAACAGAGACATTGTGTAGAAACTTCCAGTTCGCTCCTTCCCAACCTTTATATTGTGAGAGTAATCTCAAGTATAACTCTCGTTCTAATCAGTTTGTTCTAATTGCAGTGGTCCTCATATCGCCCATCTTTGCACCCAATTGGACTCATCCCTTTTTGCTATACTTATCATTTTAATCACCCAACTTATAAATACTGGGGAAGGTCTATACTAACACCTGACGACCTCACTGCTGCTGTTCCCATCAGTACTACTGACCTGCTCACGCTGCCCTCAAACTATCTCACTTAGCCTCTCATATTAAAAGGTGTTCTTGAATTCATTACACTCACTTTACAAAACATACTATCCTTTCAGTGCTCATTTGTTTTGTAATAACACTTATTATGCAGAAGGGCAGTTGAGTTTTTCAACTGCACATGTAGGCCAATTATTACAGAATTAACACACACTTTCACTTCTGTCATTTTATGGACTCTGGATGACCAGATACCGTCGTGGCAGTTTTTGAAATTCCTGTTTCTCGACATCTGTTTTTTTTTTGTTGTTTTTTTTTGTTTGCAAACCAACCCTTTTTGGAACCGCGCCATGAAGATGATGAATATGCATACTCTCTGCACTAAATTCATCACCATCTGTATGCTTCAGCATTACGACATCTTTTTGAACGTACTACATGATAATATTCATCGCCCGAGGAAGGTCACACTTTCTACTGAACATCTTTTCAACTTATAATTCATGTCTCTTCTGAAGAAGGGCCCTGCCCATAATGGTGCTCCCTATCCAAACAAACCACTTTACATTATCCTTCCTGAAGTTGGCTTGTTTCTCCTACATGACCATTGTACATGCATCCTTTATCAAACTTTATGGCTGAAGAGAGGGAATAACCTTTGGATGGTCCACCAGCCTCCAGGCTGGGATGAAATGACCAACTAAATAAAAGCTAAAAAAATTATCTTTTACTGTCCAGCCCAACTGAAGAGTTCTGGCATTGGACAAAGGCCGTGGGCAGCAAATTCTTAGAGGCAAACTGTAGCCTTTAAATTATATTTTTCAGCCCTATGATAATGAACCCAAATTCAACAAATTAAAATAAATATGGTGGATAAAAGCATCTACAGGTTAGGTGATTTTTATCTTAAAAGTTAGGATTATTGGTTTCCAATGTTTCATCTGTTTTCGGCGTTTAAACTGTTACTTGTAAGTCTTATAAGTAATTTCTCACATAAAAGTTACATTACTGTATACTCAGATGCAGATCTGTTTGAACATGTGGCGCATTAATTTGGTTATATACATATATACTTAGACTAAGAAATAATGGCGTTTTAGATATTTTTTATTTGTGCGTATGATTTGGGAGTGGGGGAGGGATAAAGTACCATAAACAATTATAAAGGAGCCACTATCTAAACAGTTTGAGGACCACTTGTTTAGAGAATAAAATGATAACAAAAACAATTTCAAACATTCCATTTCACAAATGGTGAAGTAATGGTGAGCTAATCAAAAACACAGGCCTGCGAATTTAAACTTCATAAACGTTGTTTTGGTTTTAATAACGGATTTTCCATAATTAAGCAACGCAGACTTCGAAAATAATATTCATTTTTTCTATCACGTACTGGTTTTTTTTTAAATCGGGAAGAAAAAACATCTTATTATTTATTTACTACAATGGACATTTTTAATATTATGTTTGTTAAGAAAAATGCAAACAAACTGAAGAAAAGGGAAGAACATTGATGTCAAACAAATATGCATGAAATCTACTTCTTTTAGTTTCAAAACTACGTGTTGTAGTCTTTCTTTTATGTATTGCATTATGACGTTTTGTGAAAAATCTGTACGTGATGCAGAAAAATGGATATTTTTTAATTCAGCGTACAGAAATTACTGTTGAACATGTAAACATTTCAAGACAATAAAACCATCGCAGTCCTGTGTTATTTATTACAGAAGGAATTTGTCTCAGTTAGTTAGAGTTTCATCCATATGTGTTTGCTTACAAAGTTACTTTTTAACATTCATTAGGACCAAGCAATACTCTCAACGTATAATCTGAACAAACGTTTCTTAGATATAGAAAAAAAATAAGTATGTACTTTTTCACAAACTTGGTTTCTTTGGTTTATTTCTCTTGTTTGTAAATTTTCTTCACTGAATACTTTTAGTAATAATTTTGTTCTCAAATTTCAGAAAGGGGGGGGGTAGCGTAAACACGAGTAAAAAAATCTAAACAACTAAAAGTTTAGTAGTTTAAATACAAGCTTAAGTACCTTATCTTACGTATACTGAGCTAAAGGATTACTTTTTTTTTTACCAAGGGTCTTGACGAAATTATAGAAAAATCTAAGGCTTGTCTATAACTACAATAAATGAACTACAGAAAATGCAACTAATTTTGTTTCACCATACCTCCAAAATATTGTCCTTTAGTTAAACGTAACAGCTCTTTCTCTTCGTCTGACTATGAAAAATGTACAATTTCATATTAAACTGTACACTTTGTTGTAAATTTGATACAAAACAAAACATCACACTGTCTAGCTTATTCCATAATAGCAACCACTTTTTTTTATTTTGTACTAGCGCGATCAAATGATTCAAAATTATTTAGCTTCTTATGGGCATGTCTTATAATAAAATGCTGGATCTAAGGTATTCACAATTGACTCATAAACTCAAGAGTTATATTTCCTTGCTATATAAAGTTTAGAGTCGGCATCTTGCGTTGAAAAGTTTTAGAACTTACACCAACATTCTAGTGACAAGCTTAGCTGTATTAAAAGTTGAAATTACAAATAAACAAATTAAAAAAAAAACGTTTAACTTTCATCAAATTATTTCAAGTAACCTTTAACTTCTAAGAGTTCATGTGATATACGTTTTAACAAATCAAATTAAAATGAGTTTTTAAATTCAATAAAATAGTTTTGTTTCTTACGTCTGACTGCATGACGATTCGAACCATCCCTTCCTCCACAAAATACATCCCGTCAGCCACATCACCCTGGAAATAAAACAATAATAATGAAGTACAGGAAACACGTATAACTTGTTTACAAATGCAGGACATCATGTCACCCATCTAGTTGACTGATATCTCTCATATTCATCACGTGTTTATTTGAAAAATGTGTTAGATTACTGCTTAAACTGTTTATTGATAATTTATTAGACTTGTCGAAGCTTCAGTTTTCTTCATTACACATTCAAGCTGTCTCCAAACTTTTAATTTTTTAAAGTTAGGTTCCTCGACGTCAAATCTATATCAAGTTTGTTTATTTTAGGAATTTCGTGCAAAGTTACTCGAGGGCTATCTGCGCTAAACATCGTTAGTTTAGAAGTGATAGACTAGAAGGTAGACAGCTAGTCAAATCCACCCACCGCCAGCTCTTGGGCTACTCTTTTACCAATGAAAAGTTGATTTGACTCACACATTATATCACCCCCACGGTTGCAAGGGCAAGCATGTAGAGGGAATGGATCCGAACTCGCGATTCGAGGTTTGTGAGTCCAGTGCCCTAACCATCAGACCATGACAGGTCCGAAGTATCATAAAGGCATGACATAAAAAAGGGTTACTATAATATAGTTCTGTAAGACGATCGCATTTAGAACTGCAAATGTAGTTTCTTTGAAGTGGTGGCCAGTTTTGACTTGAAGTAATTGTGACCATGAAATAATAAACGCGGTGCAACAAATTATGAAATATTAATAATAACAGATCAAAGTTGAAGTAAAATTCATTAGTGTGTAGTTGTGTATATTTATATATAAAATTTGTATGTAAAGACCATAATCACCCTCGGTGGGTCAGAGGTTCACGAACTTATAACGCTAAATTAAAGTGCTTGTTCCCCGTGATGGGAAGAATGTAGATAGCCCGTTGTGTAGCTTTGCACGAAATAAAAGAAAGTAACACGATATTATAGTAACTTGTTTTCTTTGGCACCAGGGGTTTTCCTAGTGTGCAGTTAATCACAAATTGTGCACCTGTACAACTATTTGTGTAGTTGAAAATTTACTTATATAAATAAGTTAAATTGGATCGATATAAAAAAAAACATATTTGAATTACAAAATTCCATACCAGAAATGTTAAACATATGCGTTTACTAGGATATTTTTCATTTTTTTGGATCATTTGTTAGTAGGCCTGTATATACGAGGTGCAATAAAACGTCATGTATTAAAAATTATGAAGTTAAAATATTATTGTGCAGTTGAAAAGTATCCTTAGGAAAACTCTGTTTGTAACTTTAGCAGTGAAGTACTTTCATCCAAGTTTTGTGTACATCATAGCATTTAAAGCCATTGCTGAAATTTAAATAAACTTGTCATAAGACATTAGTGTTAGGCCTATTATATTTTTTAACACTACACTCTTTATCTAGTCCCTTAGAGATTTTCGAGAATTATAAAAGCGTATAATAATAGTATTCCAACTACACCATATTCGCCACTATTTCACTTTGTAAATGATTTCAAACGAACCAGATATTCCTTCCACGGTATTTTCCCCATCATCATCTGTTGGTTTCTCAACTGGGCAATGTTGTTGAACTAACCAGCTAAATTCTGGGCTTAATGATTAGTGATATACCTGAAGCAGTCAGTCCAGGAGGATTCTGCAGTCATAGTTGGTACAACACAGTGTTAACAGATGTAGGCTAGATGAATTCTCCTTTTCATTTTTTACAGTTAATGGTATGTTGGGTTGAAATTCTCAGATAGATGCAGAGAAAAAATTGGATGAGTCGGTTCTTACGTTTACAAATTCATTTTCCTGATATATTACTCAGTTATCGATGTCCGTTTATGACTCATTAATTTTGCTATTGTAATCTTTCCATACTCAATTGATCTATTTTTTGTATTTCATTGAGAACCTTTTGTATTTCACTGATATGCTTTTGTACCACTTCGATTTTGCTGTTATTATCTTTTTTGCACATCTTTAATAGCCTCTTCAGTTTTGTCTTCAATAGCAAATAAATACATTTTTGTTCTTAAGCCTTCTCTAAACTTTATGCCTTTCTTAACTTTTATCTCCTGCGTCTTGATCTTCTTTTAGGTCTTCCTTTAACTTCCCGTTTCTTCCTTCTAATTTCCTATCTCTTTCTTCTCGATCATCTTTTAATGTCCTCTTTCTTTCATGTTTTTCTTTCCAGTGTTTCCTAATCTCTGATTAACTAACTCCCTGTCTTTCTAACTCTCCAACCCACTCTATTTGGTGTTTTATACAATACTTGTTTTCCTCATACCTCCAGAAGATTCGAAACCTCACATCAGAATTAGACATTCAGAAAACTTCTAGAACGACACATGTCATCTAGCGAGCATCTAAATTAAATATTAAAAAATATTTCCTATAACGATGTTATTAGAATTTTTTAAAGGTTTTATCATATGATTTGTATTTTATTAAGGTCCCTGTAATAACCAAATCCATTTAAGCAAAAATTATTTGATGTATAAATAATTTAAAATATTATATTTGAAAAGCAAACGGATCCCATCGATAATTTTACAGCTTAATTAAAGAGCCAGATTTCGCAGAAGCTCAGTTATAGTCACCTTCGCTAAATATATACAAACTAATCACTCTAACTGCTTTTTAAGATTTCCACCGAACTCTGGAAACTTTTTTATTAGATCTTGTTCCGGCCCGGCATAGCCAGATGGTTAGGGCGCTCGACTCGCAATCTATGGGTTGCAGGTTCGAATCCCTATCACACT